AAGTACTACCTGCTTTAAGGCGATTAGAATAAAGAAACCAAAAGACATATTTACATATGTACAAAAGTTTTGAGCAGGTCAAGGGGGTAACAACAACAAAAAGTTTTATATAGAGCAAGCTGCGATGTCTGGCGGTCGATTTAAACAGAGTAATTTGTTCTATAAATTATAATTTTGGAATAAAATAATTTTTATATAATATATATATATAGAAAGAATTTTCAGATTCATTACGTGTTAATTTTGTCATTTCCCAAAGGTTTTTATGATCGTTGGTTGCATTGCTAATATGCAATGTGCTTAAACAGACTTCCATGTAACATGATGATGGTGTCCATGAAGCCAGGAAGATGGAAACCAAAGAGGAATGTGACATAATAGATCTTCATACAATCTGATGAAAGTATCCATGAAGCTATAAAGATGTGACCAAAGAGAATATGCCAAAACAGACTTCCATACAATCTGATGAGGTCCATCAAGGCATAAAGATGTAATCTATGCTATGTTTATTATAATTTTAAGGATTCACTTTATTTAAAAGTAAACAAAATTCTCTATGTCTCTATAAATTATATAATTAAAGAGTTGGTTATTAAAAAAGCTCACGAGCACACACGCCTTCTATAGTTTAAGTAAATAAAAATATCAAATGACGATTCATTTATAGGCCAAAGCTAATAGGCCTAGCTTTATAGGCCAAATATCAGCTCGACTGAGGCGCTCGAGTGGCCAAAGTTGGAACTAAACCAGATTTTGTCATATTTACATCCAGTTCAAAGAGAGAAACAGAATTGATATAATTAGCTATCAACTTATCAATACACACGTGACATCACTTTAAACGGAGTGTAAATAAACAAAAGTCAATTTTAGTTCCCACTTCTGCCCCTCGAGAGGCGAGCTGGTACTTGGCTCATAAAGCTTACAAATTGTGAATTTATTTCTTTCCCCCATTTTAAAAGTAATTTGCGCCAATTTTATATCGATTGTGGAAGTAATAATTTTTCCATTTACGCACTTGAGTTATTGTCTGAATCTAGATATATACATGCTAAAGGTACAACTTCTTTAAGATTTAGCATTAAAACATGGTAAACAAGGTTTTGTTTGATGTTTTTTAATGAAATTACTTTTTTTCTTATAGGATATTTACAATTAGTTTAGTGAAGTGTTAGTTTGCAAATAAATTTAGCTAATGGTGGAATTCCAATTTCCACACGCCAGAGCTGAAAACAAAATGAATTGCGCATGCGTGGCCAAAAGAGAGAGATAAAAGGAGCAAAAGAATAAATTTAACACCATAAATAATAAAAATATGTGTATTAAACTTAATAATAATAATTTTGGTTTGTTTTACAAAAAAGAAATAATAATAATAAGACAATGTATCCCGGTTCAGCGGTACAAATAAGTTGTGTTAAAAAAGGCATCTACTGATAGGTAAACGTTTAAACATAAAATATAATTCCAACCCCTAATGTACATTAGTAACTAAAGAACTGACTTTATAAAGACATAATCATGTAAATAAACATTGAACATTATTCGATTCAAATGTTTCATAACTACCTTCCATTCCTAATTAATAAATAATAATAATTTTACTCTAAAAGGTGTTTGACAGAGGGAACGTGGTGTACAGCACTACCATCTTAATTTAGGGATAGGATTTGTATCTTCACCCAGCCAAGGATAAGCTATCATAAATTGAATAGTTGCTGAATTGTCATTATTTAAGTTGGATATATTTATCAAACCAAGTTTGGAGACGATATAAGAGGGAAAACATTAAATTACGTTGTTTATTAATGATTTAAGGTCAAAAAAAGTTATTAAGATTTTTAACAACCGAGGTTAGAAGCTGTTTTGATAATTTGTATCCTCTTGGTTCTTCCTCAAATCTCATCCATTTAGTTATGTAAAACTTTGTATAGGAATCTATCAATATTCATTTACACTATATGACACTATCGATTTCACTTAATACCATTTGGTATTCGTATGTCGTTCTGAGTCTTTGTATGTGTCGTCGTGTCTCTGCATTTACCAACACGACTGCGTGAGCAAATAAGGCTTTTTATTGCCAACACAAGATAAGATACAAGACTGACTTAACGTGCTACTCGACTGTCGCTCTAAAATTACAACGGTATTTATATCTTACAAAAGCACAATTGATACCTATGCAAAATAGCATAAAAAACAATTATGCAAAATACAAGAAACATATGCTAATGCACAACATATGATTTCATGATTGGTTGGGGGCTCTATGTAAATTTGTGCTGTTTAGTTTACTGAGGTATTTCGTCTCGAAAGTCAGGATTCTATTCAATTATACAAGCTCTACCCATGTGCAAGGCACTGTTGGTATAACGATAGATGGATGGTCGTTTTGATAAATTTAGCGATTTTATGTTTTAATATCAATTGATTTAAATCTGGATTTTAATCAAACAATGCTACAGGTTTCTGGAGATGTGTTTATCTTTATTAAACGTAATATCAAGCTTTCAGGCATCTCTGCCCTTCTACCGAAGTACATAAAAACATATAAACGCCGTTAAGATGCTAACTGATTTATATATACATTTAAATAACTTATAGTGGATATTTAAATCAGTTAACATCTCAACGACGTTTATACGTTTTATGTACTTCTGTAGAAGGAAAGAGATACTTGAAAGCTCTCTTGATATTACGTTTTAAAAAGATAAATAAAAACTCATCTCTAGGAACGTGTGGCATTGATTCTATGTTTTCCCACTATGTACTAAGTTCAATTCTCAGCCTACAACCCCAAGCAACTCAAGGACTACATTAACCTATCCATTGATGAGCTCTACTCATCCCCATCAGATACCGATCATTCGCAGACTCGACAATCTATTATTCGACATCAGCAAAAATCTTAAGATCCACAAACTCGACATATGATTGACTGGAGATAATAAATAGGGAGAGATTTCTTTTTTTCTAAATGTATTAATACTAAACTATAAGATTCTATCATCAGAGTAACAGTCACATATAGATAGAAAAATTAAATAATCCGAAATAAAGAAGAATATCCTGGCTTTCGACGCAGAAAGTCTCTCAGGGAAATAAATCTCAGACAAAAGAAATAAAGCTATCATATAGAATTGAGATGGCTACCAATCGTGAGCTACGATTTGTGGTCGTGCTGGTACAATAAATCCGATGGATCCAGTTTCATTGTTTTTCTTTCTTTCAATGGCTTCAAGGGAAAGGAAGGGCTATTGCCCATCTGGGAACAAATAAAAAGATTGGTTAAATATTACGTTGTCGCCTTTATCACATCAATTCCCTGATGCAGCGAGGTGCTGCATCAGCTGTGAACTAAGCTGTGTGTTAGAAATACGCTAGGAATAGTGAAAAAGGATTAATAATAATTAATACATCTTAATTTCAATTGAGTGCCATGCTTCCTTTCGAATTTTATTCACTCATTTCACTAGGAATTGTAAGAACTTTAAGTAGAGATTCAAGGCAATTATTCGAGTTTTCTTAGGAATCCAAAGCACAATTAAAGAATTTAGAATGAAAAGGAAGAAAAATTTGAATTGAGTGGTGCTTTTTAATATATGATTGACAGAGATACAGTATATATGATAAGGACAATATATGATATGATAATATATGAATTAATATAAGGATACATATTCTGTATAATGGTGTAAAAGTCTTATTTCTAGTCTACTTCAAGGAAAAACCTTGAATAAAAGATAACAATTTGCGTATTATTTAGATAGGCTATAGTAGCCTGTTTCTTTTTTTACAGATAGAAAACCTTACTATTGCCCAATAAGACGAATATTAGGAACCAAATACTAGAGTTGACACGGTCTAGTTAGTTAAACTGACGAAACTCTGGGAGGTTCACCGCTGATGAACTAGAATCACTTAATATTATTTATTACTACAATAAGGACAGTATGAAATTGTTTTAATTGGGAAGAGAGATATAAAGTCGCACTAAATACAAGGTTGTCCCAAAGGTTCGTAAACACTTGCAAAAATTAAAATAGCAATCGTAAAAATTCATTCCTGACGAGGACAAAAGATTTTTGTCGAAACGTCGAGGTAATAAAAATATTTACTGGCCGAAGTATCTTTAATTTTAAGAACTGAAATACCAATATTATTCGCCATAATATTATTCACCGCATTGTATAATGTCTTTGTTCAAATCTAAAAGCTTGAGGGATGAGTTTATTTTGCAGTTTCATCCCTCAAGCTTTTAGATTTGAACATTCTATTAAGGGAGATTAGCCTATTAATTATGAGTATAATGTCTTTGTATTATGTATAAGTAATTGTATTATTATGTATTCGCCGTAATAATATTATTCGCCAAGTAATAAGAAAAACAACGTTTTAAGAAAAATACGAACTTTTGGGACAACCTTATAGTTTATATTTCTAAATACTACACACACACTTGTATAATAAAATTTGTTTACATACATCTACTACCTAAGACCTTCAATATGTATACTAAGATGTTCGCTTAACGACAGAGTCACTTAACAACATCTACCTTAGTTCCTATCACCTTCCTTAAATGCCACACAAATCTATACATACATATCCCTCCCCATTGAAAATTAGGCAAAGAATATTTTTGAAATTAATTCTATTGACGTTATGTGGCGCTGAGTTTGTTGTTAACATAAATATTTTATAATACCATGAAAAAGGTTGGCGTTCAGCCAACTGAAATATTGGTGAATACATTATATTTTGATCCAATATATGCCTTTTAATTGAAAATCTATTTATGGATTGCTCTATTTTCAAAACACACACACATATATATATTGTAAAACGACATTTGAAATACTATCCCGCATGTGTTTCTTTTCTACGAAAAATCAAAATTTATTTCAAGGAAAAATAACGATTATTTCTAACCTTTTGGATGAGGTTTGAAAGGGTGAATTGTGAAGAGTAATGATGAACGGAAAAATAAAAGTGTCCAGGGATGGGAATCGAACCCACAGTGTTCCGCTTACCGGGCAGATGCCATATCCACTGGGCTACCCTGGACATATTTTTTCCGTTCGTTAATAATACATAAAGTAATTTATAATATAATATAATGCGGCTTATGATTGTAAAACGACATTTGAAATACTATCCCGCATGTGTTTCTTCTCAACGAAAAATCAAAATTTATTTCAAGGAGAAATAACGATTATTTCTAACCTTTTGGATTAGGTATGGAAGGGTGAATTGTGGAGAGTAATGATGAACGGAAAAATAAAAGTGTCCAGGGATGGGAATCGAACCCACAGTGTTCCGCTTACCGGGCAGATGCCATATCCACTAGGCTACCCTGGACATATTTTCCGTTCGTAAATAATATTTTGATTTTTCGTTGAAAAGAAACACATGCGGGATAGTATTTCAAATGTCGGTTTACAATCATAAGACGCATTATATTATATTGTATACTAGCGGACGTACCCGGCTTCGCCCGAGGTTTTACCCGAGTAAAGGTTTGTCTAACGAACATTTGTTAAAACAATTCTCTATAAACTTGAAAAAAAAAGATATATTTTGATAATTTGAAACTCGTAAATTTGAATCTCTCGATAAAGTGAACATTTTTTCCCGGTCCCTGTGTGCCGTGTCATCCTGAATTTTGTCTTTCATAATTTTCTACATTACAAAATCATCGTTTTATCTAGTGAACATATTTTCCCGGTCCCTTGAAAAATACTCGATAAGTTGAATAAAATCATGGTCGTGAATCTCTCGATAAAGTGATTATTTTTTCCCGGTCCCTGTGTGCCGTGTCATCCTGAATTTTGTCTTTCATAAATTTCTACATTACAACATCATCGTTTTATCTAGTGAACATATTTTCCCGGTCCCTTGAAAAATACTCGATAAGTTGAATAAAATCATGGTCGTGAATCTCTCGATAAAGTGATTATTTTTTTCCGGTCCCTGTGTGCCGTGTCATCCTGAATTTTGTCTTTCATAAATTTCTACATTACAAAATCATCGTTTTATCTAGTGAACATATTTTCCCGGTCCCTTGAAAAAATACTCGATAAGTTGAATAAAATCATGGTCGTGAATCTCTCGATAAAGTGATTATTTTTTCCCGGTCCCTGTGTGCCGTGTCATCCTGAATTTTGTCTTTCCTAATTTTCTACATTACAAAATCATCGTTTTATCTAGTGGACATTTTTTCCCGGTCCCTTGAAAAATACTCGATAAGGTTGAATAAATTCATGGTCGTTTATGGAAGATGGACGAAGTTCCCGGAGGTCATCTTGGGCAAGCTCCCGCGAGGCTTTTTTTCTTGTCTACTTGGCATAGCTGTGTCACCAACTCTGCCCTGATTGGTCGGTGGGTACTTTGACTGTCGGCCGGCGGCCGGGCGAATCCATTCTCGCACGGGGTCTGCCCCACTCCAAACTTTTGGCAAAGCACTTTCTAATTAAAGATTATTGTCTTAAATAATCTTTAAGAACAAAAAGTATAATAATTGAACGATAGGAAATTATAGTAAATAATTATACTAAACTAAATGATGTAAAAATAATTATACATGAAATTTGAAATAAGTTTTAGAAAAGTTATCGTTAAGTCCACGGGAAAAGATGTAGCCAAAACAAATAGGTTTTTAACAGTGACACGTGAGCACCCGCCTCGAGACGCGCTCCTCTCTCCTAACATTACTCCCCCTCTTGAAAAAGCCTATCTCCGTCTCAATGGTGGCGCTGCTTGCTAGTTAAAGCTACAAATCTGCAAATAACTCTAAGGATATTAAAGATATTCAAGATATTATTTTTCGTAAACCTTTCCGGAGATACACCTAATAATATCCCAAAATTTCACGGCGATTGGATGTATGGTTTTCGAATCCATAGAGGACACACACACAGACAGACAGACACACAGACATTCAATTTTATATATATAGATATATATATATATATATATATAAACGCGTACGTGGTTAGCTTTTCTTTATTAATCAATAATGGGTATTTGGCCAATTCTGGAATAAATAAAAATCAACGAATAGTTGTTATTTATTCCGATAGATGGCGCAAATCAGCAACTTTCAGAGAGATAGGTTATAAATATATTCTAACTTCTTAAAAAACTTTCTTTTATTTAGGAAAATCTCGCTACAGAGAGAGAGAAAATTCGCCATCTCTCTCAGCATAATAAATAAAACATCAAATAAAAATACAATTGGGGAAACAAAATACAATTTGTAGGTAATGGATAAAAATTGAAATAAGGAATGGAGGCTACCAAAATATTCGGATTGGATTTTAAATTGTCCCGCTCCACTCTTCACCCGGCCACAGACAAATCGATGTTAGAAGTATTGGATAGAGAATTACAATAAAAAAACTCTGAAATTGAAACAACTTAATGTTCGGAAGGAATTTGTCTGATTAAATAATACACTCGTTGAATATTTCTAGAGTATTTAACACGTATTTTGTTATATACTAGTTTTAAAATTAGAAACTATTTTAGACGCGTAAGATTCTTTTTGAAATTAAACAATTTCTACTGCTCTTACTGCAATGGAAAAATTGAAGGGAGGGCCTGGCTCATCAGTGGTGAACCCTCCCAGCAGTTTCGCCAGTTTAATCTACCATATCGCTGTTATATTGCATTTTTCGATCTTTCTTTTATTATGTTCGTAATATACTAGTTTGGAAATCTTATAGAAAATTGAGGTAAGACTTAAAATGCCTTGCGCTGTTGGGAATATTTATCTGGCAAAAATCGCTAAAAATCTTTTATGGCTCACAAAATAATCTGTTAATATATATATTAATGTAGAACGAAGTTTGAAAATTATACCGCAAATTTTTCTTTTAAACAAAAAAAACGAAATTTATTTTAAAGAGAAATAACGATTATTTCTAATCTTAGGGATGAAGTATGAAAGGATGAATTGTGAAGAGTAATGATAAACGGAAAAATAAAGTGTCCAGGGATGGGAATTGCGGTATAATTTTCAAACTTCGTTCTACAATCATAAGCCGCAATATATTGTAATGTGAATTGCATATATTAATTTTAACGGAGTCAACTTCATGGGGTTGTACCAGGACGAAAGAAAATGTCAACATGAAAGCTGATGCATGGCCTATCGCCTCTACTATTTATTGATTGATGCTCGCTAGAAATAAACAATCGAATAATCTGAAGTCCGATAAGATATTCTACCTACACGATTTTTAAAAGTTAAAAATAATAAATCTAGGGTTTGGTTTCTCTTCATGAAAAGAAATCAAACCCTATATCCCTTATTGATTTAGTTAAAATGTAAAAGCAAGGAAGAATCTTTATTACATATATTAATGTTTTGAAAATAGAGCAATCCATAAATAAATCTTTAATTAAAAAGGCATATATTAGATCAAAATATCATTTATTTTACCTATATTTCAGTTTGCTGAACGCCAACCTTTATCAAGGTATTATAACATATTAATGTGTGTCAACAACAAACTCAGCGCTACATAAGGTCAACAGAAATAAGTTTTAAAAATATTTTAAAAACTTATTTCTGTTGACCTTATGTAGCGCTGAGTTTGTTGTTGACACACATTAATATTTCTTGAAATTAAGATACTCCGGCCAGTAAATCTTTTTATTACCTCGACGTTTCGACAAAAATATTTTGTCCTCGTCAGGACAACCCCCATGAAGTTGACTTCGTTAAAATTAATATATGTAATTCACATTAGAATATAATGCGGCTTATGATTGTAGAACGAAGTTTGAAAATTATACCGCAATTCCCATCCCTGGACAATTTATTTTTTCGTTTATCATTACTCTTCACAATTCATCCTTTCATACTTCATCCCTAAGATTAGAAATAATCGTTATTTCTCCTTAAAACAAATTTCGTTTTTTCGTTTAAAAGAAAAATTTGTGGTATAATTTTCAAACTTCGTTCTACATTAATATATATATTAACAGATTATTTTGTGAGCCATAAGAGATTTTAGGGATTTTTGCCAGATAAATATTCCCAACAGCGCAAGGCATTTTAAGTCTTACCTCAATTTTCTATAAGATTTCCAAATTAGTATATTTACACATTAATATGTTATAATACCTTGATAAAGGTTGGCGTTCAGCAAACTGAAATATAGGTAAAATAAATGATATTTTGATCTAATATATGCCTTTTCAATTAATGATTTATTTATGTAATTCTATGTTATTCTACTCTACTAAAATATTATGTATATAGTTTACTTGAATCGATTTCTAATATTTCACGCTATTTTATTTATTTATTAATCAACCAGGCACGATATTAAAGTATTTGCGCCTATTACTAAGAAAACAAACAAAACAACAAACAAATTAGAACTTAGAAATAGCTAGGATTCCATCCTTCATTGCAGCATATATAAGTAAATTCATCCAATACAATATTAGAGCTCTAAAAGGCGGTCTGGTAGATTGAATTGGCGAAACTGCTGGGAGAGTTCACCATTGATGAGCCAAGCCTTCCAATATTTTTCATCACAGAAAGGACAGTAGTATAAATTGTTTTATGTGTAAATTAACTTCCATGCTTAAATGTTATACAGTGGTACCTCGACATACGAGTTTAATTCGTTCCGCAACCTTGCTCGTATCTTGAATTACTCGTATCTCGAAGCAAATTTCCCCATACAAAACAATTGAACTACCATTAATCCGTTCCAACCTCCAAAATATCATCCCAGTTATTTTTGTTACGTGGTTTTAAATAATAAAAACGTATTTATAAATATCAAATATTTATTACACAAAAACAAAAAAGAGAATATAAAGAAATAAATTAGATATCCTCACTGGTCTTTGCCTTTTTCGCTACATTTTTTCTCGCTTTCACCTGTAGGCCGTTTAGAAAAAAACATGTCCAAGGAGGTTTGTTTCTTCCTCCCTCTCAGAATGTTCCGGAAATGAGTTAGGCAAGTGTCATTAAAATCATTTCGCTCGTAACTAAAAGCAAAAAATCACTTGCTCGTCGGCTCGTATCTCGAAAAACTCGTATG